CTGGGGTGAAAGGGAGATAGATAATCCCCAGGAGAAGGGACCCCAAAGCCTCACAACTAGTAGGTGGTAGACTCTAGTCTCTTGGCCTCTTTTACTTGCGGAATCTATCCATAGGCAATAGACTTTAGTCCACCTGGTTTCTTCCTGGCTCCTTTCCCCTAGTGACTTCTCGACAATCATTTCTTCCTCTTATTTGTCTCTCGTTACATGCTTTAAGCTCATCATCAGGGTTTGCTTCCCCAGACTTAAGCTACAGATGGAGTTTTCCCAAAGCCAGTGCCTCTTAGGAAGATGAGCGCAATGGGATCAAGTTGCTAATCACTCTCTGATACACATCTTCGGTGTGGGAAGACCTGGGTTTAACAAAAAGCTATTTGAGTTAGAAGGAAAAATTAATATGGACTGACTCAAATCCAGAAAGAAGAAGCAGATATTAAGTTCATTTTGAAAAATGAGAATTCAGTTTAGGGGAAGGATAAGAAAGGGAAATTGTCCTTATCTCCCTTGAGATATTTACTGGGGAATCACATAAGAATCACATTTCATATTCATTTTTAAGGTACTTTTTATAACCATGGAAAGTGTTTTCTTTAAAGTGTGTATATCTTTATATACACACTTTTGTGTTCCTTTTTTTTAAGCAGTTAGTTTTCCAAATTCTATTCTGATAGAAACAGAGTTCTTTTCTTTTTCGTGTAACTTATATCTGAGCCTGTTTTTCTTATAAAAAATGCTCACTGGTGTAGTTTGGCTTATGGCAGCCTAAAAAAATCACAGCTTGTTTATAATTTGGATATCATTGTACAGTTTGTTTTAAAATAATCTGTATTGCAGAAGACAGAAGTGGAATTTTCTCTCATAAAGGGCATAAACTTGACCTCCAGCCCACCAGACATAATGCTCCTCTTGTTAGGGTCTTCAAGTGGGCTTAAATTAGCTAAAGTCCTCTCAGGAGCCAATGAGAAAATGCAGATGAGAATTTTATCAAGATCCCAGCCCATAATAAACCCTGACAAACGCTAATTGTTGTTATTATTACCTATAAAAAGGGTGTGATTATGCCCCCTCCACCTACCTCAGAGATGTCAGTTGAAGACCGACATCTTTCTGACTTACTTCACTCTGTATGACAGACTCTAGGTCCATCCACCTTACTACAAATAACTCAATATCGTTTCTTTTTATGGCTGAGTAATATTCCATTGTATATATGTGCCACATCTTCTTTATCCATTCATCTGTCGATGGACACTTAGGTTGCTTCCACGTCCTGGCTATTGTAAATAGAGCTGCAATGAACGTTGTGGTACATGACTCTTTTTGAATTATGGTTTTGTCAGGGTATGTGCCCAGTAGTGGGATTGCTGGGTCGTATGGTAGTTCTATTTTTAGTTTTTTAAGGAACTTCCATACTGTTCTCCATAGTGGCTGTATCAATTTACATTCCCACCAACAGTGCAAGAGGGTTCCCTTTTCTCCACACCCTCTCCAGCATTTATTGTTTCTAGATTTTTTGATGATGGCCATTCTGACCGGTGTGAGGTGATACCTCATTGTAGTTTTGATTTGCATTTCTCTAATGAGTAATGATGTTGAGCATTCTTTCATGTGTTTGTTGGCAGTCTGTATATCTTCTTTGGAGAAATGTCTATTTAGGTCTTCTGCCCATATTTGGATTAGGTTGTTTGTTTTGTTGATATTGAGCTGCTTGTAAATTTTGGAGATTAATCCTTTGTCAGTTGCTTCAGTTGCAAATATTTTCTCCCATTCTGAGGGTTGTCTTTTGGTCTTGTTTATGGTTTCCTTTGCTGTGCAAAAGCTTTGAAGTTTCGTTAGGTCCCATTTGTTTATTTTTATTTCTATTTCTCTAGGAGGTGGGTCAAAAAGGATCTTGCTGTGATTCATGTCATAGAATGTTCCGCCTATGTTTTGAGAGGGGAGACTTTAGAAGGTAGGAGACCAGACTGAGGGCATTTCTCTTTTAGAAATAAAATGATACGACGGAAGAAATTTGACCCTATAAAAGTGGAGGATAAAGTCATGTTGAGGTTGAAAACAGCAATATGGAATCTGAAGTTTCGACTTAACATAGCTAACTTGTAATCTGGACCAAAGTAGGAGGAGAAAGGGGAAAGACCACATCCTTTCAGAGATTCTGAGAAACTCAGGTAACATTCAATGAAAACTCAGAGTGAAATACCCTTGAGCCACATCCATCAGGGAACAAGCTCAGTTTTCACTTTCACTTTACTTCTTCCAACTTTTGATGGAGCTTTGGGAGGATGGTGGACAAATCATTCTAACAGATACTCAAGAGCATAAGGCTCTGGAACGCTGACGTGAAGGAGGAGGCCTGGGTGATGGTCCCACCTTGCCGATCACTAGCTGGGTGACCTTGGACAACCCCCTGCCTCTCTGCGGACCCCAGTTTTCATGTCTGCAAAATGAGCAAATAAAACCTGATTCATTCATTCATATGACAGTTTTTAACTTCATTGCCCGACTAAAACCTCTCATACGGTATTTAGTAGAAGTGGCAAGAGTGGACATATTTGACTGGTTCCTGATTGTAGGGCAGGAAGCATTCAGCCTTTCATCATGAAGTATGTCGATGAAAATTCAATTAACTATCACGTCAGGAAGAAAACGGGAATTTTATTGGAGCCAAACCGAGGGTTATAACCCGGGAAGCATATTCTCAGAAAGCTCTGAGAACTGTTCCACCTGTTAGAAGTCAAAGGCACAGTCATCTTCATTTTCGCGATATAGGCTCGTCCATCAAAATGACATACTGATGTTTCACATAAAGTTCACCGAAGTTACATAGTCCAGATAAGCATATACAAAGCCAGCAGCAAGTCACCCACGACCCCCTACGGAACTGGGAAAGAATGCTATTTTAAGAAGTTACATTGCGGGCTTCCCTGGTGGTGCAGTGGTTGAGAGTCCGCCTGCCGATGCAGGGGACGCGGGTTCGTGCCCCGGTCCGGGAAGATCCCACATGCCGTGGAGCGGCTGGGCCCGTGAGCCATGGCCGCTGAGCCTGCGCGTCCGGAGCCTGTGCTCCGCAAACGGGAAAGACCACAACAGTGAGAGGCCCGCATACCACAAAAAAAAAATAAATAAAATAAAGAAGTTACATTGCTAGTATCTGAAGAAAGAAGAAATATTGATCTTTACAGTTGAGCGGGCACTCCTGTCTTTGAGGAGTTCTGGTTAACGTGGAGTGCAGAGGTAAACTGCCCATTAGGGATGGAGGGAGGAGGCCCAGACAAACACAGAGAATTTTATGTTTAATTTTTTCTTGTTCCACCTTAAAATATAAATTTTATTTCATCAAGTATGATATTAGCACTGGGTTTTTCATAGATGCCCTTTGCAGGCTGAGTTAGTTCCACTGTAATCCCAGTTTAGTGAGCATTTTTATCATAGCAGGGTGTTGGATTTTGTCAAATGCTTTTTTGCACCAATTGAGTTGATCATGTGGTTTTTGTCCTCTATTCTGTTCATACAATGGGTTACGTTGGTTGATTTTTGGATGTTAAACCAACCTTGTGTTCCTGGGATCAAGCACACTTGGTCATGGTGTATCACCCTATTTATAGATTGCTGGCTTGGCTGGCTGAGAGTTCATCAAGGATGTTTGCATCTGTATTTATTAGGGCTATTGGTCTGTAGTTTATAACAAATATTTATTGAGCAACTCATATGCCAGGCGTTGTTCTAGGTGTTGGGGATTCTGCAGTTTTTCAAAAGAGATAAAAAAATCTCTTCTGTCATGGAGCTTACATTCAGACGGTCGACTAGCAGTGCAGCTCCCCACTGACATTTGTCATTTTTTTCCTCTAGCCTGTCAACGGTGCCCCAGATTCCAGTCTCAGTGCCTGTGTGCCTGACTCTTAGCAAACTGGACGGTCAGTGTCTGGAGATCGGAAGGGGCCTACTTTCTTGTTTAAGTTGCTGTTCCTTTTTTCCCCTTTTAATGTAAATGTTAATTAAATTATGACATCTACATAGAGAAGTGCACACACTTATGTACCCTTTGGTGTATGGGTTCTTTCACTCAGCGTTACCTGAGATGCATCCATGTGGCTCTGTGTTGTCATGGTTTGTTCACTCTCATTATTATAGGCATATATTTTATTGTGCTCACTTCACTGTGCATCACAGATAATGTGTTTTCTTACAAGTTGAAGGCTTGTGACAACCTTGTGTTGTCAGATGATGGTCAGCATTTTTTAGCAATGAAGTATTTTTTGATAAAGATACACCTACATTGTTTTCTTAGACATATTACACACTTAATAGACTACAGTATGGTTTAAACATAACTTTTATAGGCGCTGGGAAACCAGAAAGATCATCTGACTTGCTTTATTGGGATATTTGCTTATTGCAGTGGTCTGGACCGAACCCACTATATCTCTGAGGTCTGCCTGTCTATAGTATTGCATTGCTTGAATATTCCACAATTTATCCATTCTACTGTAAATGGACATTTGGATTATTTCCTGTTTCGGGCTGTTTAAATAGTACTGCTGTGCACATGTGTGGCTCTGTCGTTAGGTAAACGTCTGCTCTCCTTTGAGCTATATACCCAGGAGTGGAATAGCTCTGTCATAGGATATATTTAAGTTCAGTTTCAGTAGGTTCTGCCAGTTTTCCACAGAGGGATGTACAAAGGGGGCTCCCGCAGTAACATATGATAATTCCAGGTGCCGAACGTGGTCACCAAGACAATGAAGCCATTCTGAGGAATGTATTGGTATTGCATTATGATTTCAGTTTGCATTTCTGTAGCATCTAATGAAATTAAGCAGGAGATCCTGTTTATTTTAAACATGACAGTTAAACAGAACCAACTGTCCACCGCAGCTCCATTTCTTTTTCTCAGACATTGCAGCATTCTTGGGTACCCCTTTGATGCTAGTAGTAAAAACAAGAGGTCATTCCTGTCCAAACGTCTTCCACAGCCCCTGACTGGCTTTGTATTTCCCCAGTAAGAAGAAGAAAAATGACTCAGGGAAATCGGCCAAGAACCCCCGGGACCGAGTGCCTACGTATCAGTATAACATGAATTTTGAGAAGGTGGGCAAATGCATCATCATAAACAACAAGAACTTCGACAGAGTGACAGGTGGGTGCTGTGGGCATGGGCTAGCCTCTGCCGTTCCCTTCCAGTTTCTTCAGCTTGCATTCAGACTTGTATCAGATGTTCATCAGGGAGACACTGTGCCCACTTCCTGTGGCAGACAGCCCCTCCGCAGGTGGTACTCGAGTGTCCAGGAAAGAGGGATGCGGGGAAGCTGGGAACTTGCAGTCTGAGAGTCCCATCATGTGCATTAGCGGATGTAATATTTGGACCACATGTGGGATCTGGCTGAGGATCAAGGCGGGCTGTTTGGGCTGACTGGGCCTGAGAGTCGCCGTGACGAGGCTCACCTTTTGTGGGTGGGCTGAGTTACCCTCTCCGTTGAGTTTGCTTCTTATTTCAGTCGCTCATCTAAATCGTGACCTTGGCAGCATTTACGCCGGAGCGCCTGGCCTGATGGTGCCAGCACGTGGCACTCATCGTGGACTCGGTGCTTGATTCCCACAGGAATGGGTGTCCGCAACGGAACAGACAAAGATGCTGAGGCTCTTTTCAAGTGCTTCCGAAGCCTGGGTTTCGACGTGACCGTCTATAATGACTGCTCTTGTGCCAGGATGCAAGATCTGCTGAAAAAAGGTGCATCCTGCCCTTCCTCCTTCAGTCTTCTTCCTTCTTCCCGCCTGGTCTGGGGAAGACACCTTCACACGCAGGAGGGAAATGTCTCAGCGTGGGAAGCCCTTCCTTCCTCTGGGTGACTCCATACCTGTCTCTGGGGCACCTATCTCTCTGGAAACTTAGATCTCCCCCTAAAATGTGAAAGCAGCTTACATCACAGCAAGAGAAATAGGTTCTGTATCTACAGAATGGTCTCAATTTCAAACCGCCAATTCCATGTTCACAAAATTATTTCTTTAGATCTTTAACACAACCCCTGCGTGTTGGCCAACAATATTATCTTGCCCGTTTCATGAATATAGGGACAGAGCTTTAGAGAGGATAAAGGCCATACTGAAGGCATAGTTAGTAGGGGCAGAACCAAACCTCAAGCCTTGGTCTTCCGATTCCAGAACAATTATGTTTTCTATTACATCACACCATCTAGTGGAAGCCACCTAGGATATTCTCGCATTTAGGGCAAATGATTGAAAGTAATGCCCTCCCGGCTCATTAGATGGTGACCCATGGGCAGAGGGTAGGCACACAATTCCAATCAGTGCTGCTTTTCTCAGCTGTGCAGCTAAACAAGAAAAAGACACCCCCCCCCCATAACACTCTCTCTTAAGTACCGTCTCTTATATTTTTAAAAACTAGTCATCTTTTCCTTATTTCTTCGAACAGGAATCTTAAGAGCCCACCTTCTGTACCCTAGTAGGCCACATGGTAGAGCAGACTGGAAGTCAAGAGTACAAATGTGGGGTCTAGTCCAAGTTCTAGCAGCTGGGCGAGCTAGACGAGGCATCTGTGCCTTCTCGGTGTTTTACTTTCCTGAAATGCAGATCATGATACCATCTCCTCCTGCTTCTTGGGGCCGCAGTCAGCATTAGCTGAGGGAAAGTTTGTGAATGTGATTTGAGAAGGGTAATGGCCTCTACAGATGTAAGGGCTTGTCCCAGTTGTAGTTTCTGTCCTTATGAAAAGGGAGTTATTTCACCCGTGTCCAGGGCATGTCAGGATCACAGAATTCCCATTTACTGTCCTGTCAAAGTAGCAACATGGTGATTTTTCTTGACAGGACAAAGTTCTAGGACCTCTCCGAGATTCCATTTTTTTACCAGTGAAATAAAGATAAACGAGGCCTACTTCAAGCGGCTCTTGTAGGGATTAAATAAGATAACTACGGCAAAGTACCTAGATCACTGTCTGCCCGCAGTAGGTGCTCAAGAAATTCTTTACTACTTTTTTCTTTTTTTTTTGGCCACACCGCACAGCTTGTGGGATTTTAACTACCCAACCAGGGATCGAACCCGGGCCCTTGGCAGTGAGAGAGTGGAGTCCTAACCACTGGGCCACCAGGGAATTACGAAATTCTAAATCTTCTTCTTCCCTCATCATTGATGAAGAGAAGAGAAGAAGAAAGGATAGGTTATAGTAATTAGTTAGTTAGCTAGCTAGTTAGTTAGAACCCCAGAACCTTAGATGAAATCAAGCTGAGCCATTACATAATTTATGGTTCCTCTCCTCAGTCTCCTAAATTGACAGCCAACCTAGCATTTTCTTTCTTTCTTTCTTTTTTTTTTTTTTTGTAATCTTATTTTTTACTTTTTAAATTGTGGTAAACGACACATAACATAAAACCATCTTAACGACTTTTACGTGTACAGTTCAGTGGCAGTGAGTACCTTCCCATTGTTCGGCAGCCGTCACCACCCGTCTCCAGAAGAACTCTTTTCATCTTGCATAACTGAAACTCTGTCCCCATGACACACTAACGCCGCATTTCCCCATCCCCGCAACCCCTGGCAACCACCGTTCTGTTTTCTGCCTCCGTGAACCTGATTACTCTAGGAGCCTCATACACATGGAATCGTAGAGTATTTTTCCTTTAGCAAGTGGCTTCTTTCACTTAGTGTGTTTTATTTTCTTTAACAAATACTTGCCCAATACTCTTGTGGTCTGCTTTACAAATATCAACTCATTTAATGGGTACTGTTGTCTCCATTTTACAGACAAGGAAACCAAGGCACAAAATGGTTAAGTAACTCACCCAGTGTCACAGACCTAACAAAGGCCACACCCTTCAGCAACCCCATATGCTGTCTCCCAGCTGCTGCCTGAAGCCCTCCTACCCTTGGGGTTCTCTTCCTCATGAGAATTCTAGAGAATTCTAGAATTCTCCCCCTCTCTAACTTCTCTCCAGTGTGCTCTCCAGGGGTGCTTCTCCACTATCTGCCCGTCCCTCTCTGTCCAGTAACAGCTGCCAGGCTGGAAGGGAATACTACCTCTGAGGTCCCACAGGACATAGGTTTTAACTTTTCAATGTTTAAATCGCTTGCAGCTTCTGAAGAGGACCACAGAAATTCAGCCTGCTTTGCCTGCATCTTATTAAGCCACGGAGAAGAAAATTTAATTTATGGAACAGACGGCAAGACAGCAATAAAGGACTTGACAGCCCATTTTAGGGGGGATCGATGCAAAACCCTGCTAGAGAAACCCAAACTCTTCTTCATTCAGGTAATCCCTTTCCAAAGTCCATAGAAACGGCAAAAGATTACACAATGGCTTGGATTGTGTCATTTTTTACAAATCTACATGCTGTTTCTATTGGGGTATGCAAATTTGGGTTGTATTTTTCTACCTCTAAATCCTCGCCATCTGCATTTAGATCGCATTGGATCACAAATTATGAGAGTTTAAGACGTTGCAATATTTTTATTTGCTCTGCTTACTGATTTGACACATTATCAAATTATCTTGAAGACTGTTGCATTGCTAGTACATGCCAAGCGTAGACAACACTGGGACACGGCAGTGAACAGCACACGTGTTTCTGTTGCTTCACGGAGTGATCTCTGCTTTGATATTTAGGCTTGCCGGGGGACAGAGCTTGATGATGGGATCCAGGCCGACTCGGGGCCTATCAGTGACACAGATGCTAGTCCCCGATATAAGATCCCAGTTGAAGCCGACTTTCTCTTCGCCTATTCCACAGTTCCAGGTATCACGTCCATTGTCTGCTAACCAGACCATGCCATCCGGCCCACCGTCGAAATGAAGGCTTGCAGCTATGTCAGTTTCTTACTGCCATAGAAATAAATTGCTACAAACATAGTGGCTTAACACACACAAATGTATTACCTTACAGTTCCAGAGGTCGGAATTCCAAAATGGGTTGGCAGGGGTACAGTTCCTTCTGGAGACTGTAGAGGGGAAAATCCACGTCCTTGCTTTCCCAGCATGTTAGAACCACCTGCATTCCTTGGCCCGTGGCCTCCTTCCTCCAGCTTCAAAACCGGCAACCTCCCATCTCTGACCCTCCCTCCACCCTTACACCGCTCTTTCTGACCACAGCTGGGAAGGGTTCCCCTCTTTTAAGGACTCCTGTGATTAGATTAGTCCCACCTGGATAATCCAGAATAATTTCCCCATCTTGTTTCCTTGACCTCAATCACATCTGCAAAGCTCTTTTTTGCCATGTCTGGTAACATAGTCACAGGCCCTGGAGTTAGGGCATGAACATCCCTGGGCGCCATTATTCTGGGGGCCATTATTCTGCCTACCACAGGGACGTAGTCACTTTTCTCTCCAAAGAAGGCTGAATTCTCTCATTTATGATTATTATTATCATTGTTGGGAATTATAAGAACAAACATTTCTGTGGCACTTTACAATTTACCGAGTGTTGTTCATGTCTTTTACCTCAATCATCCCTGAAATAATTGCGTAGGTAGTTAGGAAAGGTGTTACATCTGTCCTAATTTTACAGATAGAAGAAAAAATTGAGCTTGGGTGAGTTTAGGTGACCTGCCCAAGGTCATATAGAGATTTTGGTAATGTAATAGAGTTAGAGCTCAGGCCAGGATTCTTTTATATGGCAGCCTGTTAAGAGACACCAGAAATGCCTGTAGCAAGCAAGCCACCTTAGGATTAACCAAGCCCCAGGTCTGCCTGAGTGAGTTCAGTGAACTTCCTTTGTTTGGGGTAAAAACCATCACTAAGTTAGAATTCTCCCACCTGTAGTAGTAGTTTGTCAAGTGCTTGATACAGAGGTACTTACTGGTTACAGTAAATAGGCCACTGGGTTTGGAAAACCAGTCTGGCGGGATCTACAGATGGGGTTTTGTGAGAATGATAACGTCACAAGTTTTAAGGATTGTGCGTGGAAGAAAGAAATCTGGTCTCCTGCCCGTGAGAGGGAGACGGAGTCACGGCAACATGTGCCTGTGTGAACCAACCTGTTACTCAGGTCGGAGGTGCTCTGAGCCAGGTCTAGCAGAACTAAAGGAAGAAGGGTGAACTCTAGGGAGGCAGGTGAGAGAGGCTTCTGGAAAAAAGAGCTGCTGTAACTGGGTCTTGAGAAACCAAACTGCAGGAGGAAGGGAGAGAGGGCTCACCAGACAGAGTGCCCAGGGGCAGGTGGCTCAGTGCGTTGGTAAAACTCAAAAGGCTGGACCACAGGGGCTGTCAGTCTGCTCCGGCTGTGCTAACATAAGACCACAGACTGGGGGGCAGAAATTCATTTCTTACAGTTCTGGAAGTTGAGATCAAGGTGCCGGGCATTGTGTCTTCTGATGAGAGCTCTCACCTTGGCTTGTAGACCGCTGCCTTTTCACTCCCACGGCACAGAGAGGAGCGAGAGACCATAGCACAGGGTGTGACAGGGCATTAGCAAAGTTCAAACCCGGACAGGTGGACAGGGGGCCACGTTGCCGTGGGCCCTGTGGGCTGTGCTAAGCAGCCTGAACTTCACCCTAATATAGGGGTGCAAGGGAACTGTTTTAGGTAGGAGAGGGACAGGATGAGATTTGTGTTTTAGAGTGGTTACCTGTAGGACACATACCCTGCACGGATAGGCGGGGAGTACTGTCACTTCAGAAAAGCACGTGCGAAGGCCCCAAACACCGACAGCTCCTACTGGGTGGTGAGCGGAGCAGTGGCCAGGTCAGCTGATTTCATCTTCTTTCTCTCCCGTTGAAGGCTATTACTCATGGAGGAACCCAGGGAGTGGCTCCTGGTTTGTGCAGGCCCTCTGCTCCATCCTGAACGAGCACGGGAAGAGCCTGGAGATCTTGCAGATTCTCACCAGGGTGAATGACAGGGTGGCCAGGCACTTTGAATCTCAATCTAATGACCCATGCTTCCATGAGAAGAAGCAGATCCCATGTGTGGTCTCCATGCTCACCAAGGAACTCTACTTCTGAAGATAACCATTCCAGGGGCGCATTCTAGCTGAGAAGCTACGGATCATTTGTTGATGAATCAGAATTTTTTTTTTTTTGATGCTCTTGAAAGATCCAGAAATTCTAAAAGATTTTAACTTCAGGAAAATTGATTCAACAGGAAACTTTCTGGTGCTGTCTTATCGTCTCTGAATTTTCAGAGACATTTTTTTTTTTAACATTGTTATCCATTTGGCGACTTTCTCTTAAGATTAATTTCCTGTTTGTCTTTCTTTTTCCTTGTTGTCACACTTAGTACATACAACAAAAATGACCTCTGCAGATGAGTTTTGGCTGTGTCCACCGTGATTGGTGGTGACTTTGGTAGACCATCAGAGTCATATTTGTACCTGGCAAAGAGAGTGCTTGACAAAAAAACAGCCAAAGGGATATTCGTTTGCCTGTATTGCAGAAAGTGGGTATTGAATGCGGTTTGAGTGATGATTTTCATTGGCTTACAGCGGATTCTTGTGCAGGAATTCCCAGATATGTTAGAGGGGGAAAAAATGTAATGATTCTAGTATGTAGTAGTCACGATCCGGTCAGGAAAACAGAAACCATTCTAAGTATTTCAGTAGATGGAATTTAATAGAGGAAATTGACATACATAGATGATGAAAGAGAAGATAAATGAAAGGAAGCTGTTACCACCTAGGACTATGAGGAGGTGTGGTTCCCTGAGTCCAGAAGCTGGGGTCATACACAGGAGCTGGAAACATGGTTGGGGGCTGGCTGGTAGGAGCTGGAACCACCTAGGAGTTGTGGGAAATGGAGCCGTGGCAGGAACAAAGCCATTGCCCGAGATGGGGCAACACCAGATGAGTCAGACATAGCAACATACCCGGGCTTCAACTCTCCTTCTGCCCTCTAGTCTTCCTCTAACACCTTACCCTTCCAGCCCTACCTGGAAGGAATCTGGCAAGGGCCCTGGGAAGTGTGATTTCCTGCAATACAGAGCATAGCAAGGGAGAGTGAGGCAAGGGAGTTACAGAAATAGATATGGGCCTGGCTCACAATGTGAATAGAAGGAATCCTATTCCCTGTGTTCAGTGAATCATCCAGTCAATCATTTATTCATTGAGTTGTCAGATAATCTTTGTGTTACCTGTTATGTGCAAAATCATCTATTTTAGCTTTAAAATCTGCCTGGAACTTTTTAGGTTATCCCAAGCCTTATTCTGGGTAAATTTTTTGTTACCTCTGATTCTCTAAATGGGGGAAGGTTTATGGCGAAGATATTTACACTGTGTTTTCAAGGTGGTGTCCCCTTTTGAATCCTTGATAATTACTATTTTACCCTGCCCGATAACTTGTTAACAAACAAATGTTTATATTTATTGATTAAAATGTGGTTGTTTAATTCCTAATCTGCTCAGTTTGCTTTCCTTTTGAAGTTTTTTTTTTTATTTCACTGGGAAAATGAGAAAACAGGGTAAGAATTGACCCTACTGACTTGACCTCAACACAAAATGTAATTCATATTTTCTTTTGAAGCTCGAACATTAATAAAACAACAAGTAAACAATCACTTAGGAAGCTGAAACTCTTCCCATAAAGGGTTAATGAACTTGTAAAGCTGTTTGTGATGGGCTGGCCCTTTTTAATTTGGCAACAAAATCAGATGGTGTAAAAGTATCTTCTTTCAATAAGAAAACTAATTTAGGGCCAGTTTATTAGACTTGTCCCTGTTTCCTGCCCGTCTAAAATCCACCAAATGTTCAAAATTTAAGTGGTGATCGTGAATCAAGAGAATCAACAAGCACCTACCCCACTTTTCTCAGAATTCACAGGCTGTTCTTTGGGAAATAGACTCCCCTGTTAAAGGTTCCTGTCTTAGAAATAAATATGCCCAAGGGCATTGTAATTTGAAGTAAAAACCATAGCACTCTACTTATTGACATTTGCCTTGTAAGCTTCATTAAAGAGACAGAAGCGATTCCAAGTGTCAGCATTATTCTTTTTTTAATTCTCTGAGCAGTCATTAAGCTTATAAAATAACATTACCTCATGCCCCTTAGTCCAGAAATATAAATCGCTGTTAGGAAAGAGCCTTCGTTTATCAAGATCAGAAACCCTGTTCCAAGCTGGGTATGTGTTCATACCCGTCTCCATTCTTAAACTTTCCAATCTTTTTATAATCTGAAATTCTGATGACAAATTGCACTAAAGGAGAACTCAGTCCTGGTGAACACACGTTCCTGGTTATTGTTATTTAGAATCCAAGCTTCCCCCTTGCAAAAGTACCAGGCAGAGTGCTGCTGTGGGTGAGGAGGATGCCTCACTTGGCATGGTGGGCTCAAGTCTGGGTTTATCTTTGTTTGCTCTTTCTCATGGTGCCACTAGCCTATTTTAAGTGCCAGCTTTAGGCTCTGCCTAGAGCTTTTTCCTCTGAGCAAATTTCCATAAACCATCATAAGCCTATTATGTTTATAAATTGCCCAAAATAGGTCTCAAAGTGCTGGGATGCAGTGTATTCAACATGGTTTAAAACCTCAAGAAAATCAAGGTTTCTCTGTGAGAAAGAAGATAATGTCCACTGAAAGGACATAGACACCGGTTGACAAATCCTTTCTTTTGTCCAGCCTTGCAGTGCGTCTCCTGAAATCTTTTGTCCAGATACTCTGGCCACCAAGGATTGCCTTTTGACTTCCTAGGAGCACACCTTTCGTCTGGCTTTCCATCTGTCAGGCCTTTTCCAGCAGACATCTGGCCAGGTGAGAAGCTGCGGTGGTCACCAATTTAAAGCAGCAGCAATGCATCTGTGTCCTTAGGCAGGGACACAAATAGCAGTAGCCCCGGGTACCATGAATTTCCAAAGGAATGTGATCCTTCAGAGTTCTTCAAAGATAACAGCAAGATCAAAAGGTTCTTTTACACTGTCTTGCCTTGTAAATGTTTTTGCCTTGTAAATATCAATACCAAGTGTGTGCCGGCAACATCCACATCCCCTGGGAGCTTGTCAGAAATGCAGAATCCCAGGCTCCGCCCCACTCAACAAGAATCTGCATTTTAACCAGATCCCCAGGGGATCCACCTGCACAGGACACTTTGAGAAGCTCAGTGTTGAGGGCAAGGACCACTTGTTTACACATTTTGCTTCCCCTCTCCACTGAAACTGAAGCTGATAATATAGTATATACCTAAAAAGAATTCATGGAAAAACATCTATTTTGGAGTTTTCACAGAAGACATGTTCCGAGCACGTCTTAACCTTCAGCAAAAATCTCTGTGTAGAACTCTACCATGCCCTTAATTTCCATGGTATACTTTCTATGCCCTTCTCCATTTTAGATGAGCCTTCTGCTGAGTGATATAATAGGATTGTTTTTATGTTCTCAACGTGTTTGAGAATATGAATTGCAGGCTCTAAGATGTCTTCCTAGACAGAATGGGACTAAGGGATCCATGCTGCGCATGTTTCTGCTGTGGGCAGGAGCTGTTGTGCGTTGAAACCACAGATCCTGTCTCTTCCCACCAGTCCTCCCAATAGAGAGAATTATTGCCTGTCCCTGCCAGTGTGCCCTCGGGCCATAGATCACATCACCCTTCCGATAGATTTCAGGACTTTGTTTCAGATCAGATGGCAAATAATTCTTTCGGATTCATAAATCATTAACACAAATACACCAAGAACACACGTGGAAGACCCCAGCTACCACCGCAGTACTGGTGTGGACGTGGAAACTCCATTAGCTTGCAGGTTCGTGCTTGAATAGCCTTCTAAAAGTACATGATCAACATCTGAAAACCCAAAAGCCAAAGGTGATGAGTTGGCTTTGGCACGGGGCTTTGGTTTATATAAATATTTATGGCACTACAGTTTTCTGATAAGTTTGTTTTAAGCATTTAAAGCCAAACGATGTCAAAGGATTTAAATTTGGAAGGCACTTGGGGTTGATATAACTACAGAAATACAAGGCCAGGCATTTCTTGAGCTTTGATGGTCTGACCCAGGTAGATGGCATGAGGTTCAGGAAGGATTTGGGAAAAAGAGGGAGGAAGAAACAGTATGATAGGTTTGGTCTAAATTGCTAGTTCCAGGGAGTTCCCTGGTGCCTCGTGGTTAGGACTCCGCGCTTTCACTGCCGTGACGGCCTGGGTTCAATCCCTGGTTGGGGAACTGAGATCCCGCAAACTGTGCAGCACACCAAAAAACATGGAATGAAATGAAATGAAAAATTGCTAGTTCCAGCTTAAGTTGTTTAAGGCATATCTCAATCCTCACAGCATCAAACTTTTTTCTTAGGATCCAGGGTTAGCAGAGGTGCTTTTAACCATCAGTATTTAGAAACCTGGCTCTGAGTCCCATTAAAAGATAAACTGAGGCATATTAAAATTTTAGGAATTTATTTGCTCCAAAGGGGAAGTGGTTAGAAGTGCTCCCTCAAAGGGAGCTGGGGAAAATCTTTTACAGGGAAAAAGTGGAAGCAGAAAGGAAAGTATTGGTTGGCTATAGTCTAAGCCCTAGTTGCCTGTGATTGGTTGTACCTAGCTTTCGCTTTCCTAAACTTGAGAACTAGAGAACACTTGCCCAGGAACTTCCAGAGGCTGAACAGGAACTTCAAGCCCAGGGTGACTTTTGGAGGAAGCTTGGGAAGTGTGAGGGAGCTTGCAATGAATGGGTCCAGATGCACGGGCTTCTCCAGCTGGTATCTGCAGGCACACCTCTTTCCTCTTCCTCTCAGATCACTTAGGCAATCATTTCTAGGCAAGATGGACCACTCGTGTTTTCCCTCTCCTCCAGTGCCTCTTAGGTACCACAATGTAAAATACTTTCTTTAATAACATTACTGACATTTTTAAAGGAACTTTTCTCTACCACACCTTTCATAATTAATATTAACTGGTTTAATGTTAAGTAAGGAAGGGAAAAGTTAATTCTCAAGTGTATGTTTTTTATACTAGGATATATGCAGGACCAACTCTTAAAAGCTTAGGAAAATCAGCTTTTGCAAATTATCTTTTCTGAAGCTTCCAGCTGTATTAAGTGCTGACAGTTTTTAAGCACTGAGATGAAAGAGACAAATTCTTTTTCTTTTGTGTTGCTAATTACAATTTTTCTTGGCATTATGAAGCCTGCTTTTCTCTTGAGACGTCTGCCAGCATACATTAATGGCACAAATATTTACAGACTGCTAAAGCATAGGGGCAGCTTATACCAAAAAAGCTATGGAACACTTGAAAAAAAGCCTCTCTGACACACTGTATTTGTCGTCTGTTACCTGGAATCAGCATAAACTATTTGCCCCTTAGCCTCAGCAAATGTGTTTAAAGAACGTTGTCCTGGGTTAAGTGTTTACTTTGCTGGCAATGGATGCTGAAGTCTTCCTTCAAGAGACTTGTGGGTGACACTTCGTTTTTTCAGGGTTAAAAATAAGATTTCCAAAAATACGTATGCATCTTACGGATTGCTACGCTGTCAACACTTTTCATCTCCTAGACCTCCCACATGGCATGGAAGAGGTTTATCCAATGGTTGTTCCAAATCCCAGGAGCTTCAGAAAGCTAAGTTGAACAAGCTGGAAAATTTGAATAGCAAAGCCACAAGGCTCTTTGTACCCTCTCATTTTCCTAGTATGCTAGTTGAGAACAAAGGCTCTGGAGGAAGAGCCCTGTTCCCAGCCCAGCTTTGGCACTTCCAAGTTAGATAACCTTGAGGAATCTCTCAAGCTCTCTAAACCTCAGTTTCTCCATCTTAAAATGGAAGTAGCCATATGTAGGTAGCTAGGAAATTGTATCTACCTCTAAGTGTCTTGTGAGAAATAAATGAAATAATGAGTACGAAGCGCTTAGCACAATGCCTGGCACACAGAAAGTACTCAATAAATGTTTGACTATGTTTTTTAAACCAGCCTGACCTTATTAATAATTTAGGACACAAGAAGGAGATTAGGAAGGAGGGGGAAAAAGGAAGTGCAAGTGGATTCTAATCTACAGAAGAGGCTTTCTGAGGATTAAGGCTACCCATGCAGAGGAGAGGAAGAACGGGAGCAGGAAAGGAAGGCAAGAGAATTATAGGAAGGCCAAGGAATGGCGTAGCCACCAGCCTGAGCCTCGGAAGAGGAACGGGCGCTGAGTGCAGAGATGTCCAATAAAATACAAGGTGCCCAGTTACATTGGAATTTCAGGCAGAGCAACAAATTTTTTTGGTGTGTGTCCCAAATATTCCATGGAATATACTTATACTGAAAAATTATTCGTTGCTTATCTGGAATTCCAATTTAACTGGGTATCCTGTTTTTATGGGGTTATTGTTTATTGTGTGTGTGTGTGTGTGTGTCTATTTGCTTGTTTTGCTCAATCTGTCTGCCCCAGCCCTAACTCTGCAGACCATTGTTCCAGCTTCCATCACCTCATCTTGGCCCTG